TTCCAAAAGAATCCTGTTTGGTCAGTTTAGCAGAATCCCCCATGCCTGATGGTTTCTCTCAAGAATTTCCCATCCACGCACCTGCGCTCTGCTTCTTGGCGACTGCTGCATTTGGAGACCAGCCCAGTTCGATACTGAGGCCCCGCCCCCTGGCCTGATGACAACTGTTCCTTAGCAACACCTGTGTTGTAGCTTTAGCCACTGTCCAGTGCTGGTTTTTCTCTGACACAGGTGAGAGCCTCGAACAGTGCTCCTAGTATACAGCCATTTTCAAAAAGTTAAAAACATGACCCTCGCACAAATGTAAAATTAATACATGAATAAGCAGTATAATTTTATTTAATTCAGTGAGAAAACCAACAAAAAAAATTGTTTCACAGGCTTGCAGCTGGGGGTGGGGGCAGATTTATGTACAGCGACTAAAAGGCAGAATGCTGGAATAAGACAGCTAAAGTGGCTACGAATCTGGTAACATCCTGCAGGACACCCAAAATTGTATCTTTGGGGTTGTCTTGTCTAATGGGCAAGGATTGTTTGCATTGTACCATTTTCTACACTATTCATCTACCCTTATAGACCTGTGAAATATAGTAATCAACAGGAAATAGTAAATCAAAAGTAAGCAAAATAGGCACACAGACCTAGACGACTTGATGAGATCCTTGGAACAAAAAGCTAAAACCACCCTACAGTATCAAAAAAAAAAAGGTAAGCTTAGGAAGTCCACATTTATACTAGACAACGAGATAGCCCTTGGGTGGGAAACAACCAACGTGACTTCGAAGGGACCCATGGTCATACTTTTGCCTATTTCCAAATTTTAGGAATATCACAGGTGTTTAATAAATGTTGACCAGAAAGTAATTATTTTGATATACGAAGTCCTATAGGACTCAGGCAAAGGAATAATAAGAGGAAAATTCATAGCATCAAATGCTTTCATTGAACAAGAAAAAAGTGGAAAACAATGACTGCATCACATCCTCATTCATTGGTCTAAATCTGATTGCTGAACCCTAAGAAATTCAGAATGGTGTAGATGGAAGATAGGAATTTTTATCAGAAAAAAACCGAACTGGCTAGAAATACAACATTAGCCATAGTCTGAAACTCTAATAAATAGGGTAGAAGGCCTGCAACATGTGTGACCCGCTGAACTTAACTGACTTATAGAGTAAGACAAGAAATAACATAAGACCCAAGAGAGACTCAAAATACTTTTGAGTTTCGATCAAAATACTTTTCTGTGGCCTGCCATCATGACAAACTTTCTTAATTTCACTTCTTCTTCATCTTTGTGTCCCTTTGAATAACAATACTCACGATCCCTCATGCTCAAAGTAGGGAATTTCTGTTATCAAAGGCTGGGGAACTTGAAAGAAGGTTCAAGCTCCTCTTTGAACGAACATGTGGAAAAGTGCAGGGTGAGAGAACGGCCATACAAGGAGCCCCATTTGGTGGCATGCCCTCAACAAGGTAAGGTTTGAGGTGTGTATTATACAAGTTTGAGGTGCTGCCAGCACTGGGGTGGGTCCCTCGGGCCCACTTGCTAGTTCTCTCCCCCCAGGAAGCCCCCATAACCTCTCTGAGCCTCACCAAGCAGCAGAGACCCTGACACACAGCAGACACTGGTAAGTATGTGCCACCTTTGTCTGCTCCAAGATCATTTTTTTAGAGAAGTACACAGAACATGCTTTTCATGTGTTCTCAGTCACCCAGACATTAAGAAGATTAATATTGTTCATCTGGTAGCTTGAGTGCAAAAGGAGACCCCTTTGCAAAAAAAAATTAATTCTTACAAAAGATTAATATTGTTGACCTCTTCATTTTCCCTTCCGATCTCTAGTACTTTAAAGTTGCTCTCACATGAGAACACGCTCCAACCACCTATTCATTTAAATGTAAGCCTTCAACCCATCATCCTGTGCTCTTTTTCTGAATATCTTTTCACTGCTTAAGTAATAGGATAAGGAAACCCAGGAAGGAACCCAAAATGGACTCACTTCACCAACTTTCTTCATGGTCCTGCTTTGTCTGCCTTATTTCAGTTACCTCCTGACATACGATCCCTGGACACTTGAGACAAAAGAAAACTTTTGTAGGTAAGGAAGCCGAAGGGCAAAAGTGTCCTCCCTGGGGAAATGTCAGCAGGAGAAGGATCAGGACACAGCACGGGCTCTGTATACGGCAGCTAATGCCACACGATGTCTCGGCTTCAGTTTCACCAGTAAATCCCTCTTGGAAAATAAAAAATAAAAAATAAAGCATGACCTTAACTAGGGCTCTTTAATGCTTCTCCTAGACCCAGTCCCCCAAGAGACCTGACCAACAGGTCTGCACTCTGTGTGGGAGACTGCCCTCACCCCACCCCACCCCAAAGGCACAACAAGATTGTCCTCACGAGTCCCTATTCCTGGCTCTTCCCTGGAAACAGCAGCCTCAGTGTAATGACCTGACCTCCTGGGAGGGTCATCCTCACCTTCGGGGCACGTTCCAACGAGGAAGGTGAGGACGTTATATTGAGTTATACCAGATTACGAGAGGAAGCCAGTCCTCACCCAGTACCATGAAGGCTAAACCTTGGTGGGACAGGCAACCCTGCTCCACCCAACAAGCCAGCCACTGGCCCGGCACTGGCCCTGACACCGGCATCTGGAAACCACGCTCTGCCACTTGGCTGGACAAGGATCCTCAGTCTCGAGCTGGGTTTATGTCCTGCCATCCAGAACCACCTCGAGCCCAGAGGCACATTCGTTGCAGGGTCTGGCTGCTCCCTGGTCTGTCTTGTCTTTCATGTCCTCAGTCCAGGCAGGACAAGAAGGGCTGGAAGCCCCTGCCCTCTCTCAGCCCACTCAACACACTCCAGGGAGAGGAGGGAGGGAGGGAGGGGAACAATTCTCTCCCAAAACTTGGGAAGGAAGACGTAAAGCAATTTTGCCACATATCAATCTAACATTTACGTACACTTTTCAGCCAATGATTTCTTGCTGGAGGGTGCACCAATTTTCACCAGGGCCCTACTTCACTCTCGGGAAGCCTGGTCAACAGTTACCCTGTTCCAGCACATTCCGCCCCCCAGTGCCAGCCCAAGGCAGGCAGGGAGGAGAAACCCAGGTATTGAACTATGGGCCCCGTGAACTTTTTATCTTTTCCTTCCAGTAGACTAACGCTCACCACTCTGTTGAACAACATGCACCTCTGCCCTCTGTACTAGGACTAGCTGAGTGGCTCTGTGCTGGGGAAGTTGTAAGCTCGAGTGACTTGTGGCACCAGTCCTCCAACAGCGGGAACAGATTTTTCCGTGTCCTGGAGGGACCTGTTCCCTTGACCTTTCACAGCGCTGTTTGCAGTAACATCAAAAGGGGAGATACTATAACCGCCACACCGTGTGCTGGCATCCTCTTTCTCCCCTGGAGTCATGGTGGGGATTAAACATTTTAAAATATGCAAATCATTTCACACAATCCAAGCTGTTCTCCAAATCGGATAATTCTCTTTCGCTCGTATTTATCTGAGAAGTGCGGATGCACTGGAGAGGGGCAGAGCGACTGGCATAGTGGGAAGCCGGTCAGTCTTGGGGACTGCGACATGGGACAGCACCTACTTGGGAGGGAGTTGAGTGTTGGAAATGAGATGACATGCCCTCGCTGGTGTGGCTCAATGGTTGAATGCTGGCCTGCAAAATCAAAGGGTCACTGGTTTGATTCCCAGCCTAGGACACATGTCTGAGTTGCATGCCAGGTCCCCAGCGTAGGGTGCGTGAGAGGCAACCACACATTGATGTTTCTCTGCCTCTTCCACTCTCCTATCCCTTCTCTTAAAAAAAAAAATGACACTTGTGGACCTAGTACATCAGACAGCAAGTGCTCCCTGAGAACTAAGACCCTCTGTCTGTCACACAGCAGGGTCCCTTTATTTAAATACCATACAAATTAGACCTGAAGGGCACCACCCAGGGTTAGGAGACACCCGCAGCTGCAATCGGCATCTGCATGACATCCAGGGACTGCAGCAAGCCATGCGGGCTGTGAAGCCACTAGAGTTACTGCAACACGGAAACACAAACAACAACTCTGTGTCAGCGTCACCCGGCAGCAGAGTCACCCATTCATCTGGAGGGAGCACAGATCTCACTTTGTTTTGTTTTGTTTTGTTTTGTTTTGTTTTGTTTTGTTTTGTGTTTTTAAATGTCTTTTTCTCTTCCCCCACAAATCATGAAATCCCTTCGGGGCATCAATGCGAATTGCAAAACCTGCAGACTGGAAAACATGTTTAAAGCCCATGGCATTTTCCAGCACAAGTGCAACACTGACATCGCATGTACAATGCCCACCTGAAAAGGCCCCACATCTCACATAAAGCTGGAAGGGAGTCCAAAGCGGGTGGACGAGCACACTTGTCATCCTTGTCAGTTACCGGTACTGCGGGCCCTTTGATCAAATGGTGTTTGAAACGACCGAGAGAGATCAGAGTATTTGAGTTTAAGGGTTTTTCGTGTTCTACCGCTCAGGGGTCCTGACCTTCTGCCCCCTCTGACCACCTCCTCATAGAGGAAGAAGTAAGGCTCACGCCACTTTACAAGCAGCCACACCCTCCTCCTTCGGGACAGAAAACAAAACCGATTTCCTCCCTACATATGCGTGACGTGCACCTGCTACAGCTTTCAAAGCCAAAAATCCAAAGGATGTAGTGGGGCACAAAATAATAGCATTATCTCTCCCCGCCCAAGAGTCTGACTCTTGGCACAGACAGAGATCCCTGCCATCCTGTGACCCCAGGGGCATTCACCCTTAACTGAGGGGCAGAAGGCTCATCCACGGGGAAGCCCTCACCGGGGAGGAAGCCAGAGGTGGGCCTGTCCAGGAAGAAGTGGGGGCCACTCACTGTCCCTGCAGGGACCCCTAGGCCTCATCTTCAGAAACTCGGGGCTGGAGGGCTGACCAGCTCAAGGCTTCCTATCACAGATGGATGAGGACATTTACCCAAAAAGTGGCACGTACCTCCTGCAACAGTGCCTCGGATGAGTGAGCGAGGCCTGGTCCAACAGAATGACTATCTGACCCAACAGAGGCCAAAAAGACATCCGAGGAAGTCCGCTATAGGTTGCTTTTCTGATGAAAGAGGTGAAGTGAGAGATGAGCTGATGGTGTTTCCCCTTCCTCCTTTTTTCCTACTGGGCTTGTGAGAGCATGATGTCCGGTGCCACAGCAACCTCTTTGAGACTATGAAGAATGAGCAAAAGACAAAAGGCCAACATATTGACTTCCTATGGAGCAGAAGGAGGGAAAAGAGCTTATGTCCTTAATGACATCTTGAGCTACTTAATGAATCTGAGGCCACTTGCCCTGGGCTTCTGGTTAAGTAAAGAATCAATGTAAATGTCCTCATAGTAAAGACCTTGTTGATCTTCTTCCATGATACCCTGCTAAACACGAAACACTTGTCTAGGTATTTCAGAATCAGTGCATATTTTTGCACAAATTATCTCTCAGCTCTGTTCCTTAAGTCACCAGGAAAGGTAAAAAGTAAGGAGGAATCGTACGGCCACCTCAGGAGACAACATGGCACCTTCTTGTAAAGTGCAGCATTCAGAGTAACCACGTGGTCCAGCAATTGTGCAACAGCCACCAAGGCTTGAAGTAACCCAGACGAGTCTTAGGTGCACATTTCTAAGTGGCAGAAGCCAGTTAGAACAGGCAACAGGCCATCTGATTCCAACTACATGACATTCTAGAAAAGGCAAAACCACCAGACCCGGAAAAAGATCAGAAGATGAGTGGTTGCCAGGGCTTTGGTGGCTGGAGGTGATAAGCCAGGGCAGCTAAAGGGACTGTTCGGGCAGCAAAGCTATTCTGTGTGATACAATAATGGTGGTTGTCTGACCATGTTCACTCGTCAAAACCTTCTACAACACAAAGAGTCAACCTTAATGTAAACTGTGGACATTAATGAATAATAATGTATCAATATCGGTTCATTCATTCATTCAAGTGCATCGGTTCATTAGTTAAACACTAATGCAAGATGATGAAAATAGGGAAAACTGCAGAAGCCAGCTTAAAAGGTAGAATCTATTAGTAAAAAAAAAAAAAAAATAGGAAAAAGGAAAGAGGGGATGAGGGGGAAGAAGAATCCCTAAAACAGTAATGGTTTTCTTTTCAAGTCAGTCCAGAAACTAACCCAGTGGGATGAGTTCAAGGACAGGTTTGAAGCTGTCCCTTCCAAAAACCACCCTGCCCTGCTCCCACCAAGAGCGACCTCTGACTTGACCTTCACTCCACTCCACGTGCGGCAAGCTTCTCCTATGCTCCCCATGTGCTCTCCAACATGGGGACCATGAATCCCACAGGAGTGCCTGGCTCCTGGCTCCTCCTTGCCCTCTCACCACCACTCCCTCCGCTTTCCAGGGCATCCCTAGGGCTCCCGGGTTATTCTCACCTCTCGTAATGACATCTCTGGGGAATAAAGTATCCTTCAGATGCTCGTCCACCTGAATGGAAATAACCACCCTACAAATAATAAACCCCCTGGCATTCAGCTGGCTTCTGTGAGGGTTCTCTTGTACCCCAGACACTGTTCAGCCACCCCTCCCACCCCATCCACAGGGCCCAGAAGGGGAGCCAGTGTGCAGCCAGCTTCGCTGTGGAAATGCAGCAATGTGTCTAACTTCAGTAGGAACAGGAGGAGGTACCACGCTCCAGTCCCAAAAGCTTCCTGGGTATTTTTCCCCATAGTTTCCTTTGGGGTCTGGAAGGCTGACTTAAAAATGTGTATCTAAATAGACTGAAGTTGTAGCTGGGTAACTTATTTGATGAAAAAAAAAGACAATCTAGTTTAAAAATCAGCCATTGCTTGTCTCAAATCTCTTCTTTTTTCCCTTTTTTATTTTTTCTGAATAAATGTGAATGGGCACATAATCAGGAGTCCTCACTAAAAGTGTGGACTTTATGAAATTGGCTGGAAAAAGGCATTTACTGAGCAAACATTCCCTGGAGAGAAGTCACTGGGGCCAGATCAATGAAGCCTTGGTAATGGGGGCCACCAGCTGGGGGACTGAAATGCCTGTGTTAAAAGGTATAATTTGGGGTGATAATGGGATTTCATCTGAATGAATCATCCCCACAAGTAGGGCAGGCATGTTTTTAAAACCTGCAGACCAAACAACAAAGATGAATAACAACGAACAGTCCTTCCGGAATGGCCAGGCTTTCTCACTACTCCCAGCCTTGGCACGTGCTTTTCCCTGGAAATTCCTCCCCCGCCCCCAACCCCCACCCCTTCCTTGTCCCACTTCCCTGCATTACTCAGAATACATCCAGAATGTTCCCGCTTCGGAGAAACTTGCCAATTCCCCAAAGTCGTTCTTCAGTTCTTCCTCCCTGCCCCACAGGGCCCAGTGCCTCCCCTTTCACAAGGACCGGGCTTGCATACCTTCCCCTCCACTTGCACTCCCAAGGCCCAACCTCCCTCTGCTCCCTGTGGCTCCAGCAGTGGAGACAGCACATCACCCACAGACACCCACTCAAAACACGGATCACAAAAGAAATGAACCCACAAATGGACTTTATGGCACGTGGCAGCTTTTAAAAGCCTATAAACAGAGTCTCTTTCAGCAAGAAATATTTTTTTAGCTTGACAAAATATGAACATGCACTTGGGGCATCGTTTGGCATAAAAATAAGCTCACCAAGTTTGACCATGGAAAGCTTGCTTGTCTGCCCTTATTCCTCCAAATCAAAAAGTCAAACGAAAACATTTCCATGTTGCTTTGACTGACATCTGTATCTGTGAAGACCTGACTTGCCTGGAATTGCAAATGCTACCCTTGGAGACAATGGGTTCCTTTCTTCTGTCTTCGGCAAGCATACAGCAGCTAAACTCACATGTGCACGGAGCACAGAAATCACGCTTGGTATGCTTACTGGGACTCAGGATGCTGAGCTCGTTAATGGGAATGACACTGTCGGGAAGATAGTCTTATTAGTGTGGAGGCGGTGACAAGCCCACTGGCTGGACCTCATCCAATGTCCGAGACCTGCGAGAGGAAACTGCGTGGCCTCAGGGACCCTGCACAGGGCTGCTCTGCCCCAGAGGGTCATCTCTGCTGGTCCAAACAGCTGGCCTCCGGGCCGCTGGCCTCGAGAGCGCTCACCTCGGAAGCATGGGTCAAAATTTACTGGGGAACCCATCCTAATAGGGATGATGTCGACACTTCCCTTATCAGTGAGTCCAAGGTTCACTGCAGCCACAGACAGAACCAGAAAATCAGGAGAGAGAAGAAACCCAGCCTTCGGGGTACTGTTACGCTGCTTCTAGGACCTTGCCTTTTATGCATTACATCTGAGGGTCCCTTCCGTCATTCCTTGGCCATCTAGGCCCTGTGCCAACTATGGTCAGTGCAGTAAACAGCTGTCTTCCTGGGGTGGTTGGTGGGAGGGAAAAAAATGTTAGGGGGAAGTCTGTGCTATCAAAATCTTTTCTTTTTTTTCTCTATTTATACATTTCCCACCCTCGTTGCAAATGTGAAAGGCTTCCATTTGATTCAATACTGAATTCCATATAACCCAACATGAGACAGGAAATATTCTTAGTAAACAAAAGAAAAGGTAATAAAAAAGTTAAAAAAATTTTTTAGTCTTTTTTTCATCTTTAAAATATACATACTGACTAGAAGACCCCCAAGGTCCTTCCAGGTTTACAGCTGGATGACTCATGAGTCATCAGGAAAATGTCCATTAAAACAGCACTAAGATAACTGCATTCACCCTTTGGATGGGCAAAGATGAAAGAATTCCACAATATCAGCATCAATACAAGCATAAAACAGGATGATGTACGCTGCTGACTACAGTGTGAACTCATGTAGCCTATTTGGAGAACAAGTTGGTAAAGCTGAATAAATCTATGGGGCTTTATTCAATGTCTAAGATAATCACATACATGTTTATGTTCTGGGTGACATGGATAAGAATAGTCATGGAGAAATAAATTTTTATGACAAAATTGGAAACAACACACATGTCCATAAGTAAATCTAGAAAACGTGATACTGTCCAAAGGTGACCCAGTACATGGCGGTTAAGAGGACTGACTGACTTTACGTGGCTGAATCTCCAGAACATACGATCGGCATCTGTGTGTGTATGTATATAAAATGTATGTATATACAAAATCAGTGGTTCTCAAACAGGGGAAGGGGGACTCCCCCTCCTCTGCCCCCTATTTGGCAATGTCTAGAGAGGTTTTTTTAAAATTATTTTATTGTTGTTCAATTACAATTGTCTGCAATTGCTCCCCCAACTCCCTCCCACCCCAGCCAAACCCACCTCCCTTCCTTGCTTCCACCCTCCCCCTTGGCGTTGTCCATGTGTCCTTCCCCCATGTTCCCCTCCCCCCTCCCCTCTGGAGAGCTTGTTTGACATCATCTCGGCAGTAGGCACCGGTGAAAGCTAGTGGGCATTCACAGATGTGCAGCTCACATCCTCCCATGCAGAGAACAGCCCCCAACCAAAAAAACAGTTATCTGACTTCAATGTCAACAGCACTGAGGTTGAGAAACTTTGCTCTGGAATCACGGGAACAGAGTTGTTTTTACATTTTAATTACTGAACTAAGAGTGTCCTGGCACAAATTCAACCTTCCAGGCGTATATGAAAACCTCTTCAGCCCTGGCTGGTGTAGCTCAGTAAATTGAGCGTGGGCCTGTGAACCAAACGACCACAGTTCGATTCCCAGTCAGGGCACATGCCTGGGTTGCAGGCCAGTTTCCAGCAGGGGACACATGAGAGGTAACCACACGCCGATATTTCTCTCCCTCTCTCCTTTCCTTTCCCTCTAAAGATAAATAAATAAAATCTTAAAAAAAAAAAAAAGAAAACCTTTTCAGTGACTGCTGGCTAGAGTTTGGGTGCTGCAAATTGGTATTTATCCTGGAAACTTATTTGTAAATTAAGTTTTGGTAAACTGAATCATGTTTTAAATGAACTAAAGTAGGGACCTGTTATTAATGGACGTTTTGGGAAGGTTTTTATCACACAACAACTCCCGCCTAATTTTTCTGCTGCATTAAGGACTAATGACAATATTTCAAGACCTATTAGCAAGGCACAGGCCAAAGTCAAGCCTGACATGTTCTCACTTTAAACTAAACTGCATCTCTGTTCCCCATTTGAAACCTTGCAGTGCATTCTGCAAATATCTTTATACCTAACTTCTAAGAAAA